ACAGGCAAAATTGTTGGGAATTCGATTGTGCATCTGTACAAGAGATTTGGAAGTGTTGGAACACTTAGTTCTTGAGATATTTGCTGTCAAACTTTGAAATTTTGGAATTATTTTTGAATTATCTGCCCTTTGCTACTGGGCCTAGAGCCTAGAGATTTTTAATGGGAATATCTACACCTCGGTGCGCATCTGTGTGATTTTTTTTGTAAGCGATAATAATAATAATAATAATCCGAACGATTACAGTAGGTCTCCTGCCTAGAGGCAAGGAGCCCTAAATATGCAGCCTTCATAAATTCAAATATCGACATGATATTTATATGTATTAGTCAAGTTGCCACTTGCCTTTTTGCTAGTTACAAATATTATACAAAAAGGAAACTAAGTATTCAGATGAGGAATGATGTCCAGGCGCTAGCAAGTCAATTTTTTCGTGTAAGCCCGATAGGTTGCAATTCTTTAGATTTAGATAGTATTGAGGGCTTGCCCAACCTTTTTAGCAAAAATCATGTGTAAGCCCGGGCAATTTTTATAATGGTAGCTACGCCCCTGATGTCCTCAATGTGGAGAACCCCTACTGCTGCTGGAAAACTTCAAACTGGTAGAACTCAGTGACAAGTAGCCAATGTGTGTCTCAGTCTGTGATTTGCAGACTCTGGCACATGTTTCTGCAGATAACAAAATGTCAATGACTGGCGACGCACATGACTTTCAAGGTGACACAAGTGAGGATCGACCAATCCGAAACCAGGCTTAAAGAAGAGAAGATCGTGCAACCGTAGTAATCCACGAACAATTTGAAATCGTATTGCTGTAGCTAATATACATGCTAGGCGAACACTGCGTTGTGACACTGTTAACTAATCGCTGACCCATGAAGATCCGTGTCCAAAATGGTCTTCAGTAACCCATGCTTGTCGTAAGAGGCGACTAACTGGATCGGGTGGTCAGGCTCGCTGGCTTGGTTGACACATGTCATCGATGCTCATGCTGTTGATCACTGGATTGTCAGGTCCAGACTCGATTATTTACAGAACGTCACCACATAGCTGGAATATTGTTGAGTGCTGCGTAAACCAAGAAACCAAAAAGCTACCCCACCGCCCCTTATTTCTTGGAGAACAATAGCCTGCTACACACCTGCTGACGCAGCCTGAAACAATAATCACTCTGCCATTCCATTGAAGATGTATTGAATTTATGCAATACAAATATTGAATGTATTATTATTCCATGTCATGGTTTTGCAGTATATCTGTGGTACAACATATGTTTTTGACGCCGCGGTATGTTGAGCAGAGCGATATATTGTATTATGGTTATTTGTAATCTGAGCATTGAAATTAACTGCATTGAAATATCTATGGTGACAGATGTTCGCGGAACAAAACACTCAAGCAAGTCACCAGAATAAACACACGGGACGGGAAACAGAAACACAGCTATAAGATATGATCTTTACAACCCAACAATGATAACCTGAGCATGTTTCGACCCATGCCTGCAGGACCCTGGCACGTTAGACTGATTCTCAGTCTCTGAAAATAGGTTATATTGATACAAAACATAAAAACTCTATTAAAATTGAAAATGAGCCCTGTGAGCTTGGGAATTTAGAACAAGAAGAAATCTAGACTTCATTTAGGTCTTTTGCATTTCAGAAAGGTCAACTAATGGTTGGTTGGTTGGCTGGTTGGTTGTTGTTTAACACCGTGAGTGCTGTAATTTGACTGCTATAGTTAAGAAAGGAAATACGATTCACCTTATCGTCAGCACACAAAGTCCGACATCTAACCCACTCAGCCAGCGCGGCTACCACTGTGAGAACATTCAAGGGCAGATTTGGTATTGCTAAAGACATCTTACACCAATATCATATATGAAAGATAGATCGTTATTAATGAAGAGTGTAGTCCTTCCGCCCATGGTCATACAGGCGGTCAGTCAGCACGTTATGTATAAGTGAGTGAGTGAGTTGGGTTTTACGCCGCTTTTAGCAATATTCCAGCAATATCACGACGGAGGACACCAGAAATGGGCTTCACACATTGTACCCATGTGGGGAATCGAACGCAGGTCTTCGGCGTGACGAGCGAACGCTTTAACCACTAGGCTACCCCACCGCCCCCGTTATGTGTAAGACAATATCTATACTACCCAAGAAAAGAAAAGCTAAACATGATTTTGGTTCAATTGTTTAGTAACATTTAATATGTTAATAAATAATGTTACAAAGGAGGAAATATGCAGCATGGAGAACACAGAAGTCGAGGTCATTACAACAGGGTTGAAATGTCACATTCAAAGGTCAAGGTCATCAACGTGGTCAGTATCGCGTATGCCCACCATTGGCATCAAAACAGCCTGGCATCTCCTTCCCATGGACCCAACAAGGGTCTGAATGACACGTTGGGGAACGTTGGCCCACTCCTCCTGAAGTGCTTGGGCCAATTGTTCTAGTGGCTGCGGCTGTTGTTGACGTTGACGTACATAGGTGCTCTATGGGATTTAAATCCGGCTATTTTCACGGCCAAGACAGAACCTGGACGTTGTTTGCCTGGAGGTAAGCTGTTGTGAGTCGAGCTGCATGTTCCCGGGCGTTGTCATGCTGGAAAAAGACATTGGCGTTCCGGGTGATGGGTAGGACGTGAGGTCTCAGGATCTCGTCTGTGTACCTCTGAGCCGTGAGATTGCCCTGCACACGGACAAGATCTGTTTTTCCAGTGTGTGAGATTTCTTGCCATACCATAACACTTCCACCGCCGAATCTGTCAACTTCTTGTGCGTTCGGACTGACTGACTGACTGAGTTTAGTTTTACGCCGCTTTTAGCAATATGCCAGCAATATCACGGCGGGGGACACCAGAAATGGGCTTCACACATTGTGCCCATGTGGGGAATCGAACCCGGGTCTTCGGCGTGACGAGCCAACGCTTTAACCACTAGGCTACCCCACCGCCCCTGTGCGTTCGGAAGACATGGTAGGCAAGTGGCGGCGTTTTGTTAAATTGTGAATGTTCATCTGTTTGCAAAAAATGAACTAAATTTCAACCTCATTGCCAAAGGTATTATCGATTGATAACAGTCAGACTCCTATCTGAATCAAAGATTTTGGATTTTGATCAAGAATATACGCTATTTTTCCGTTTTTATTCATTTTGCGTTTCTTTTTTGGGGGGCCAGTTTATAATCAACATGAGTCCTTCTAAAGCAGGTTTAACCAAACTTGAAAAGAAGACAAAAGCATCTTAATTTCAATAGAGTATTCAATTCAAAAGCAAATGTACACAATTTCATTTCATACAAAGTCCAAAGTACCGTTTGACTGACACTGAAAGACACGTGGTATCATAGTCTGAGCGACACAAATCATAAAGGTGTTTTTTTCTGCAAAATGTCATCAAATGTTGAATCAATAGTGAGTGTGCCCACCATTGGCTTCAAGACACGCAAAAACACGTCGAAGGCATTGATGACGTAAGACCAGGAATCACGCTAGGAGTGATCCGTTGCCATTCCTGTAGGAGACACTGCTCAAGTTGTTGAGCGGTGATAGGTGGCGCTGGTAGTCTTCTGATTTCTCGATCCAGGTAGTCCCATAAGTGTTCTATCGGATTCATGTCGAGAGAACATGTTGGCCACGACAAAACAAAGATGTTAGCGTTATGCAGAAAGTCGTTTGTCAGTCTTGTTGCAAGATGCCTTGCGTTATCCTGTTGGTTGACAATGCCACGTGGTTGTTGCTGGATCAATGGCAACACAACTGGTCGCAAAGCTTCATCCCTGATGCAGATTTCTCCCCACACCATCACGCTACGGGTCTAAACGGCCGGACTTGCTGGACATGCTAAACGTTCACCTACTCGTGCCCGGACGTCAATACAGTACAGGCCAATAACGCATCTGCCAACGTCGAACTCGCCTCGCCCATGTCAACTGACGTCGTCGGTTTTGAGATGTCAGATGCACTCCGCGGTAGCGTCGACGTGCCTCGAATACCATGTTCTCTTAGTCGTCGTACACTGCATGTCGTCAGTGAGCCTGCCCAACCCTACTCAAGTGAAAGTCATCACCATGGACTTGCGTCTGCCACCTGGCTTGCTCTAGGTGTAGTCATCCCGGGCGTGAGGCAACATGGATGTGTTTTCCACTTCACTCAAACCATTTGGAGGAAATGCCAAGAGTTGGGACTTCAGGTACATAACGATATATAATTGTACTACCAATGGTAAAATTGTATTAAACCTAAAAACTATTCATATAGAATATATTATGATAATGTAACTGTTACAATAGTTTTCACAATATTGTGATCATCCGGAATACCTGTATTCATATAAATAATAAGGGAATGAATATTACACATGAATTCCTATAATATGCAGAAATCATACACCACCAATCAGAGCGTGCACACGTATGTAAATAAAGTCTTGACCAGCGTCTACCTCCCACCCAGTCACATCAGACCAGGCCCCCATTTCTCGAAACAAACTTAAGTTTTTACTCAAATCTCAAACTGAGTTTCACAATTTGGAACAGCTGAATTTTTAACTCGACTGCATTTTTTAAATATAAATGCCCAAACAACTAAACTCATCTATCCACTAAACTCAAATTATCTTCTCTAGTTTGAGTTTAATACCGATTTCAGTTCATTCTGTGAAATGCATTTTCGTGCGGTTTTCTCAAGTTTGAGTAAAAACTCGAACTTAAGTCAAAACTCAGACTTAAGTTTGTTTTGAGAAATCGGGACCAGGCTTCCTGATACTTAAGCAGAAAGCTGCCACCCTTGGTCTCTGTGCCAGTACTTTGACTGGCAGATGTCAAGCGACACATTGCCCGTCTGCAGCTGGTCTGTCTTCAACCAGACAATAAATACAAACAACCATGTTGAAAGTAACTTGATGTATTATATTTATATTCATATTATCATATCATATCATATCATATCATATCATATCATATCATATCATATCATATCATATCATATCATATCATATCATAAAAATCTAATAATCATTTACATATAATTCTGTATTCAGGCTGGAACAGAAGGATAAACAGAAGGAATGGCGAGCGGACTCTTGGATTGTACAAGCTCATCCCTGCTCCACGCAAGGAAGCTAGGCAATTAGACCTACATGCAAGACTTTTGCTTGATGGAAAGTTGAGGCTCTACACTGAAGGATGTTATTATTATGTTTTATTTGGTGCCTTGTGACTGGGGGCACTTTTGACGATTTGATGCGGCCCTTTTGGCTAAATGTTTGTGGCCTTTTACTTTGTTGTGGCCCTTTTGATTTACCGCTCCTTTTGTAATGCGGCCCATTTGACCTGTTCCCTTCGTGGCGATGCTTTTAATTCCAGCAGACTGCAAATGACTGTTACTTTCCAATGTAAACACGGAGTAGGACTAAAACCTATTTGTCCGCCTATAGTTTAAATTAAACGCCTGAATACACTTTGGAACTGGGCTCTGTTATTCTAGAGGTTACGGATGTCGGGGCTGGGATCATTTGTATGTTTACGGAAACATACTCAAAGGGATAATTTCCTTGAAACAATCATATTGGCTCATAATGCAACTGTGCAGTTATTTGATTATATAAGAAAAGATTCCAAATATCATGCCTTGGATATAAACGTGTTGGAAAGTGTTATTTTATATTAAATAATTTTATCACTAAACTCCCTGTGATCTTTTGATGGTTTAAAATCTGATATCACTTCAATCAAGTGTGACGCTGAAGTCTGGTTTAACAAATACTCGACCTAAACAGGAAACTTGAAATGTCTGTGTAAAAGTGAATCTCCACTTCACATGTTACCAATTACCTCATTACGTCACTGACGTTAACGAGCCATTAATGGTAATGAAATGCAGTTATATTACCGAACCGCCGAAATATATGCTAATTTCTGTCAGTGTGGTATTAATTCGTTTTCCAATGGCCGAGCATTTAGGAGAGTATGAAATATAGGATAAATCTAAACCTGGTCATACACGATCTCAACCTGTGTCATCAATGAACAATATTTACAATTAATTCACAAACTATAATTGTATGAAAATGACACCATCACACTCCTTATTTACATACCTTTTCATATTTATAATTCATACTCTTTAATGTCATCACCTGAGAAGCACATGCAATTTGGTGGCGAAATGATACGTGCATTTTACATTTGGGTTTATTTCCTCACATGGTTAAACCTGGGAAATACTGTTGTTTCGTGTGCTGCTTTATGCAGGTTAGAACTGATCTTCAGTAGCCCATGGTTGTAAGAGGCGACTAACGGGATTGGGTGGTCAGGCTTGCTGACTTGGTTGACACATGTCATCGTATTCCCATTGCGTAGATCATGCTGTTGATCACTAGATTGTCTGGTCCAGACTCGATTATTTACAGACCGCCGCCATATAGCTGGAATATTGCTGAGCGAGGCAAACCAACCAAACCAACTTTATACAGGTGGTCGATTCCACTTACTTATAAATGGAAACACACAATCTCATTAACATCGGATTCTTCATGCCAGTTTACTATTGATGAAAGGTGGCATTTGTTTAGGATTTCGTCGGGAATTGAGGTAAGGTCGAAATTTCTGAAACCTTTAAGAGAACAATCTCCCTATTCCTAACAATTTATTCAGTATGTCTTGCACCTACTCTACGCATCCTGAAACACGTGATGTATATACCGTAGATACCAAACAATACGCTGGTAACTATGACAACAATCCACGTCGTTCTGTACTCATGGGAAACAAGCGGGTCAAAGGTCGCTATAATTCGGGCAGGTCCACCACTTCCGTCGAACACCTTCATTGCTCCTACAAATATTGTGGCCCCGAAGACTGGAATCTGGTCAATGTTGGCCACATTTTCCAGTCCGATAATTCCATTCTGTCCACACAGCACGTGAACTTTGAAGGTCGTCGACTGCCCGTAATCCAAGGAGGGAGTGTCGACCCCAACCATACTGACGTTTCTATTGGTCAACAGCCAGGAAATGGCGTCCTCGTGGTAACCCGGGAAATGGTAAGTGGAGGGGTCGTCGATCTTCTCGCTGTTGAAAACAAGTTTCTTGTCTTGAAAACGGGCGCCCCAACCTGAATTTATGAGTACAATGGCACCGTGTGGGATTCGACCATGCTCTCGTTCGTACCTGTCGAAGTCAGACTTTGTTACTCTATAGTCGTGATCCCTTTCTGCTTGTGACGTCACGTCGATAACCACCGCTGGACCAATCAGACGCTCGGGCGGAATCTCATGCGCCCTCCATTTACCTTTGGCGAAGTGGGCGGGGGAATCGAAATGCGTTCCTCCGTGTTCGGGGGTAACAAACCAGTTTATTTCGAACCTGTTCAAAAAATGGAACAAGACTGACATGTGGTGTCTGCACAATGGTGACAAAGATAGAAACAAGATCGGGGCGACCGGGCACTCGAACTCACAGGTTTCTTGCAGGAATATTTTCAAAACGAACCGCAGCGCCTTATACTACTGGGCCGCCCGTACTTCCTGGTGAATTACAGTAGAAATGTGCATATTGCACGAACGGTTTCATTAATGGGACATAGTGTCGTCTCATGTGCAGTGAAATGCTGTGCAAAGAGATGTAAACTAACTAGATGCCTCTAAATAACAATCCTAGAACATATGTATACAGAACACTCTCTATTTCACAACTTGACTGACCATCAGTTTGACTTCCTATTCCAATTCGACTTAGATTTTGAAAACATAATTTCTACTTTCAAGAATATTTTATAACCCTTACCACAACTTTGCGAGGAAGCCACGGTTGACGATGTTTAACTTGAATTTCGGAATTCCCTCGACTGGCCATTGGGGCATTTCCTTGCTGTGGGCCCAGGTAAGGTCTATCACTTTCATCTCGCCGCTGATTGGAGGTAGCAAAACGCTGATGCAAATGACAGAGAGTCTATACTTCATGTTGGTGTCTATGAATGTAATGATAACAAATTAGGTCATGGCTATAGTACCCCTTGACGTACAACGTTCACGACAGCCCTTATCGAGGAGATTAAATTGGTGAAACGTGTTGCTAAATATTCAGTCTTCCTTCACCAGGGATTCAACGAACATTAAATATGAGCTCTCTTGTATTTGTACTTTGTAACATTATTTTAATGAGAAAGATCACGATGTAGTTTGAAAACCTAATAGTGAAATACTCGAGAATTTAACAACAACAGGGTACATACATTGGTATATGCCAGTTGGAGACGCTGTCTGATAAGACAAGATATGGAGACCAGCCCAGCCCAGATAAGACCTTCGTGTAGAGAATCCCTGACCGATATGATCCAGCCACTGTCTGGGAAAGGGAGACAATCGTACTGAAAACGCGGTTATCACGTGGTACACTTATATTCACGTAACTGTCACGTGTATGGGACATGACGGTGAACGATGAATGAGTGAGTGACCAGACCACGTTTACACACACACACACACACACACAAAATTTCAATAGTTTGAAGAGAGAATTGATTTCTCTTTGGTGCGAACCATATACAAAAGGAGTGGTAATTAGCATTGCAGAGGGCGTTTGTTGGGACTATAAATGTGACGTCATAGCGCGGGGTATTCATTCTCGCCTGCAGTCAACTTCTCTTGTTCGCTTGTTCTTCAACAAGTATAAACATGGCTGCCTCATCCGGCATTGGTGGGAAACTGGACAGTATCCTATTTCAGATGGCCACGCGTGACCAAACTGTTAAAGCTGTCGACTGAAGGCTTACAGGTTTGCAAGAAAGCTGCAACAAAACCTTAGAGTTACAGAAGTTGCGCACCCAGAAAGACTTTGTCTGGAAACGTGAGGGACACACGTTGCAGTATCAATTGATTCTCTCAAGCAAATTAAATTCGCGTTTGATTACAAGACCGAATATATGCAAGAGCTGTTGGCCTCTGAAACAGAGAGGATGGAGAAGAGGAACAAACACATCAAGCTGCCGGACACCTCAGAAGGAGGCTGGGAGGCCGTGCGTCAATACGAGGCCAACGAGTTGGGGCGGTCAAGAAACTGGAGAAGAAGAGAGCCAAGTCGTGCAGGTTTACAACTTACAGGCCCCCTTCAGCGACTATCACCCAGTCTACTTCACCTCCTGGCGTTGTGTCAAGTCAGCTGAGCCTTACCCAGCGTCCTTTTGGAGCAGACCTGGACCTCCTTTCACAAAACACTAAGGTGATCGTAAAGCATTAAGGTAGCCTTAGTCCAATGTTAAAGAATGGGAGTTGAGGTTAACGTTTGTAAAGGTTGCTTCATGCGGCGACTCGTTCCACTCGGGAAGAGATTGCCTACGTGTCATAGCACAGTCAAACATCATCACCCTTGGCACATCCAGTACATTTGGCTGGACAAGGTAAAGTTGAATTTGGTTTAACTCACGAGTACGAGCAACGTTGTTCAGAAATCAGAATTAAAGGTAATTAGAGGCATTGTTCATGGCTCTGACAGGCGATTAATGCTACAGGCTTTGTATTGGACGTTATTGAAAATGGTTACAGGGTGCCTCTCTGTTTATTACCAGTTTCTATGGAATTTAGCAATAACAGATCAGCTTGCAATCATTCAGAGATTGTGTGTGAAGCCATTACGGATTCCTTGAACAAGGATTAGATCGTTGAATGTGCTGAAAAACCATTTGTTGTATATCCTTTATCTGTGGAGATTCAGACTTCAGGGAAGAAGAGCCTTTTTATAGATTCTTCTGTTGTTAACAAGCATGTATACAAACAGTCCGTCAAATATGAAGATTGGCGTACAGCCTTTGTGTACTTTAGGATAAATGACAGGTTGGCTAAATTCGATGTGCACTGGGCCACACTCGCCACACTGAGATGTATCCCCAGCATACAGCGTTCTTTGGATTTTCTTGGAATTGGTCATGAGGAAAGAAGTTTCTTGTTCTCCCGTTCGGTTTAACTTCGGCCCCCAATATATTTTCCAAAGTAACAAGGCAGTTGGTTAAGTATTGGCGTCATGATGGTTTGCACATAGTAATGTTCCTTGATGATGGACCTACCTATGGTTGATTCTTCAGAGACTGTTTGCAGTGTTTCAGCTTAAAAGGTCAAGAATGATATCATTTGGTCTGGCTTTGTTCCTAAGGCTGAGAGTGAGTGAGTGAGGATGTTTTAACGCCGCTTTTAGCAATATTCCAGCAATATCACGGCGGGGGACACCAGAAATGGGCTTCACACATTGTACCCCTGTGGGGAATCGAACCCGGGTCTTCGGCGTGACGGGTCAACGCTTTAACCACTAGGCTACCTTAAAACATCCTCACTCACTCACTCACTCACTCACTCACTGGGGATCTAGAGTGCCAGTTCGCAGTGTTTCTTCAGTTGTAGGACAAGTTGTTTCCATGAAGCTAGCGGTTGGTGATGACAAGATCGTTGTGGTGTGACATTCCAGCTGCAAGGTCTTGGAGTGACAGTAGTAGATTCTCACGTTGTAGCTTAGAATAGTTTCTGGTTGTCAAACAACACTATGTATAACTCACGACTCTGAGTTCAGACAGTTCAGCAACTAGGGTTGTATATAGCAATGCTAGTAGTACGGGCTTTGGAGGGCATTGTGTGCAGTTTGGAGGTAGATATTCTTATGGTCAGTGGATGAAATCGGAATGAGTTCTACGTGGCGGGATCTTAAGGCAGTGGCAATGGTACCTCGCTTGCAGTATAGTTCTGTTCGCTTGTTCTCAACAAATATAAACTTGGAAATGACAGATTTCAGCTTCGGTATCTCAGTTTCAGAAAAGAACGAGATGGACACAGTGTCGTTAATATTACCATGGGGCGGTAGGGTGGCCTGGTGGGTAAAGCGTTGGCTCGTCACGCCGAAGACCCGGGTTCGATTCCCCACATGGGTACAATGTGTGATGCCCATTTCAGGTGTTCCCCCCGCCGTGATGTTGCTGAAATATTGCTAAACGCGGCGTAAAACCAAACTCACTCACTAATATTACCGTACGATGTTGACGTCACAGAGGCGGGAGGATGTTGTCTCCAGTGATCGGGATGAGCTTATGTAACAGTTACACAGTATTAAATGTCTCGGCTGGTCTGCAGGGAACGTCCATTGTGTGTTGTGCTCTTTGAATATGGTTTGTTGGTTAGGAAGAGAATTCATTATTAACATAAAATCACACTAAAGGGAATGTTTTGATGTACACCGTGTAACATCACAAAATTCTCCATTTACAATTTTATTATGTACAATTTGGTGAACATAACAGTAAACTTTCTTGTATGTATGCCTTGATATAACTAGAAGCATATATATTTGGAGTGTAGGTTTACGGGATCTTTTGAATACAACCTGTAGAACATTTACGAAGAAGATTAATTTGGATGTGGTACACAGAATAGGTAGTACAACAAAGACATGGCCTGTTCCGTTGAAGATTTGGCATCCTCCATGAGCGCCAGGGTTGAAAGCTTTTGACATCATTGATTGTGCCAAACAGATAGGGAGAGAGGTTCTGTTCTGTTTATTTATTCAGTATTGGAGGCCTTTTGGCCCAGGGTGCCGTTCTACTAACCGATCTTAGCCCTATGCCAATCGTAAACCCCTAAAATCCCAATCTTAGCGTGACGTTACGATCGGCATACCGTTCCACTAACCAATCTTACCTAAGTCAATCGTAAAGTTAAGATTCAAAGTCTAAGTTGCTCATGACCAACTTAGGATAGCTAAAATCAATCGTAGAGAAACCAAAATGGTGGCTTTCCTATTCTATGTGAAAAATAAGAGCGAGCATTTCACCGTGAGCGTCCCCTAAAATCCCCCATGAAATGAATTTGTATATTTCTGTGATGTAAACAAACACTGCACTGAAACCTTACAAATGTCAGGCCAGTCTGACCACTGTCGTCATGGGAACACAGCCGAGCGAGTCGGTGTAACACATTTGTACAACAATATTGCAAAGTCATGGTTAAGAACAGAGACAGCCGTGAAGTGAACAATGTTCTGAAACAAAAAGATACAAATATGTTTGATTTCACGTGCGCTTATTTGGTGGGGGATTCTAAAGGCAGGCCGCGTGTTATTCAAGACCACTGACAAATTCTACATACGTTATAGAGTATGCCTCCTCACGCCTTGTTTATTCTGATTGACAAGGTTCAGGCACATACTAAAAGCTCTGACACAATTGACATTTTTAAAGTCCAGACTTAAAACCTGTTCTCAGTATATTACTTATAATCTCGGCTGTAAATACTCTCGTGTAAATTATCTGTACATAGCGCTTTGAGCATGCCCCAGGTTGTGGAATAGGCGCACTATAAATATGCATTTATTATTATTATATTATGCCTGATACCCAGCGTTCACACGCATATGCACCTGAAACCAAGGTGCTCACTACCCTAATATTTTGCTCTAGTTTTTTTCTCCACGTTTACACTTGGTTGGAAAAATACCCATGAAGGCCCGGGTTAGAATATTGAACTTCAATAACCCATGCTTGTCGTAAGAGGCCACTAACGGGATCGGGTGGTCAGGCTCGCTGACTTGGTTGACACATGTCATCGGTTCCCAACTGCGCAGATTGATCCTCATGCTGTTGATCACTGGATTGTCTGGTCCAGACTCGATTATTTATAGCTAAGATACATAGCGTTCACTAACATGAACGCTCATGTTAGTGAACGCTATGCATCTTAGCTAGATTATTTACGGACCGCCGCCATATAGCTGGACTATTGCTGAGTGCGGCGTAAATCTAAACTCACTCACTCACTCATTTGGTTTGTAAACTACTTCCATCATTTGCTAGACTATGCAAAGGGGATAACTCGTGCCTCTAATTCCTCTATCTCTCGCACGAAAGAGTCTCGATCTAAGCTTGAATCAGATCGTAAGATCGGGACCGGCTACGATCGGCCTAAGATCGGGTAGTGGAACGGGTGTAACTTTTAGCTAAGACGATTGTAAAATTGGCGTAACTTGCTAAGATTGATCTTAGGTAAGATCGGTTAGTGGAACGGCACCCTGATTACATATTGTTGAAATACAAATTTCTGTGTGGAATGCATACTGCTTACAAGTTATTTCTGTACAATGGGTACAATGATAACTCATGTAGAACTAGTTATATTGTACAAGAAATGATAAATCGGTTTATATAACACATGAAATCATGTTACTTCAAAATATGGGATAGCTACAATGATAACTCATGTAGAACTAGTTATACTGTACAAGAAATGATAAATCGGTTTATATAACACATGAAATCATGTTACTTCAAAATATGGGATAGCTACAATGATAACTCATGTAGAACTAGTTATACTGTACAAGAAATGATAAATCGGTTTATATAACACATGAAATCATGTTACTTCAAAATATGGGATAGCTACAATGATAACACATGTATAACTAGTTATACTGTACAAAAAATGATAAATAGGTTTATATAACACATGAAATCATGTTAATGCAAAATATGGGATAGCTACAATGATAACTCATGTAGAACTAGTTATATTGTACAAGAAATGATAAATCGGTTTATATAACACATGAAATCATGTTACTTCAAAATATGGGATAGCTACAATGATAACTCATGTAGAACTAGTTATACTGTACAAAAAATGATAAATAGGTTTATATAACACATGAAATCATGTTACTTCAAAATATGGGATAGCTACAATGATAACACATGTAGAACTAGTTATACTGTACAAAAAATGATAAATCGGTTTATATAACACATGAAATCATGTTAATGCAAAATATGGGGGTCATTATTTCATAAAGATTTCTTTTCAAATACAGTGCGAGTCCCTTCAAAACATTAACATTTGTTGAAGACATATGTTGTAGTTTTTCTCGGGAAGGGTAGTGATGAAAATATTTTGGAATGAATTTATTTCTGCCAACATTATAGTAAGGACAATCCAAAATGAAATGAAATTCATCATCGACAGCCATATTGTCACACTTATCACAGGGCAGATCGGTCAACGCTTTATTTACTTTTCTTATAACGTTAGTTCTGAATCTTCAGGTTATGAGAAAATATACGAGGTGAGGTGAGATGAGGTGAAATTGGGTTTAACGTCGTGCTTGAGAATATTTCGCTCATATGACGACGTGCATGCGTGTGGATGTGTATGTGCGGCTGCTTGTACTAGCCCAGACTGAAGCTGGTTTTATAGTGCTAGCCCACTGAGATACCAAGCCGCAGTGAAGCATGAATACCCCACTCAGACACATTATTCTGACTCCTTGTCGACCAGTCCTTGTTGTACCCATTAATGCCGAACGCCAGGCAGGGACCAACAAGTACCATATTTTAACGTCTTTTCGTATGACGCGGTCGGGGATCGAACCCGCGACCTTTCGCTCTCCTGGCGGACGCTCTAACCACTACACCACGGAGGCGGTCAGAAAGTATACGAAACTTCGTGAGATCAACTTTTAAATCTTTATCTATAGAATTTCATAATAAATAGAATTCTGTACTTAATAATGATTTATAAGAACTATAATGGCAAAGAAATGTTGAACTAATGATTTTTACACCAATTTTGAATTTCTAAATCTATGCACCGCTGTTTAAACAATCTTAGAAAATATTTCATATCTCCACAATCTTGGGCGATATAGATATAAGGTTCTTCCTTAAACATGAAAAAGGTAATACGAGAAATTGTAATGAGGAAACATTATCGTCAATGAGGGGAGGCGGGGTACCCTTGTGGTTAAAGCATCTGCTAACAATTCCTATACCTAAAAATAGCACAAAAGCTATCAAATGCAGCATAATCAAGATTTTAACAATGATTATTTTTAGTTTGAGTTAGTCTTGTATTTGTTGCATATCATCATCATGTAATAAGTCAATCTACTTTAAATAACCGTAAGTCAAAAACACTGGATGAAATTGTTGCTGCTATGGGTAGTGTGCAGATCGTGCATGGTTCACTGCGCCCGAGAACTATTTGCGAGCTAGAAGTGACTTCCTTGATACTATGTCAGTATCAAAATGAAACTTCATTTGTTGAATAAGCAAGCAAGTTTGAGTCGTTGAACTAACTACTTCGAATTGAAAATCAATGTTAAAAATTATTGATGTTCAACAAATTCAAACGTTTAAAGATACACTTGCACAATCGACACATGTTATATAAATAAAAAGGGAAACAATTAATTCAGTAGGATTTTGATTTTAACGTTTTATTACAAATTTTACAGAAAGATTCAGACAGTAAATCATTAGTTAAATTGATCCTTTAAGCAGACGGTTGATTCCACTTGCTTATTAATGGAAACACCCAATTGGATTCTTGATTTCAATTGACCTTCGATGAATGGTGGCATTATTTCAGGATATTGTCAGGAATGCTATGAAAATTGAGGTAATGTCGATAGTTCTTAAACTCATAAGTCACTGACGTGCTCTCTGTATCACGAAACACGTGCTGTATATACCGTAGATACCAAACAATAAACTGGTAACTATGACAACAATCCACGTTGCCCTGTGCTCATGGGAAACAAGCGGGTCAAAGGTCGCTATAATTCGGGCAGGTCCACCACTTCCATCGAACACCTTCATTGCACCTACAAATACTGTGGCCCCGAAGACTGGAATCTGGTCAATGTTAGCCACATTTTCCAGTCCGATAATTCCGTTTTCTCCACACAGCACGTGAACTTTGAAGGTCGTCGACTGCCCGTAGTCCAAGGAGGGAGTGTCGACCCCAACCATACTGACGTTTCTATTGGTCAACAGCCAGGAAATGGCGTCCTCGTGGTAACCTGGGAAATGGTAGGTTGAGGGGTCGTCGACCTTCTCGCTGTTGAAAACAAGTTTCTTGTCTTGAAAACGGGCGCCCCAACCTGAATTCATGAGTACAATGGCACCGTGTGGGATTCGACCGTGCTCTCGTTCGTACTTGTCGAAGTCAGACTTTGTTACTCTGTAATCGTGATCCCTTTCCGCTTGTGACGTCACGTCGATAACCACCGCTGGACCAATCAGACGCTCGGGCGGAATCTCATGCGCCCTCCACTTACCTTTGGAAAAGTGGGCGGGGGAATCGAAATGCGTTCCTGCGTGTTCGGGGGTAACAAACCAGTTTATTTCATACCTGGGGAAAAAAATGGAACAAGACTGACATGTGGTCACTGTACAATGGTGACAAAACTAGAAACAAAATCGGCCCGGGACTTGAACTCACAGGTTCCTAGCGAGAATGTATAACTCCCAGGTGAATTACAGTAGATATACAGTATTTTCAAAACGAACCGAAGCGCCTTAGACTACTGGACCGCGCGTACTTCCTGATGAATTACAGTAAATATGTGCATATTACATGAACGGATTCATTAATAGGACAGAGTGACATTTTACTGTGATATAGCATTTAAATATTTAGCGAGATTTTTCAAACCAGTTTATTTCGAACCTGTTGAAAAAATGGAACAAGACTGACATGTGGTGACTGTACAATGGTGACAAAGAGAGAAACAAGATCGGGGCGACCGGGCACTCGAACTCACAGGTTTCTTGCAGGAATATTTTCAAAACGAACCGCAGCGCCTTATACTACTGGGCCGCCCGTACTTCCTGGTGAATTACAGTAGAAATGTGCATATTGCACGAACGGTTTCATTAATGGGACATAGTGTCGTCTCATGTGCAGTGAAATGCTGTGCAAAGAGATGTAAACTAACTAGATGCCTCTAAATAACAATCCTAGAACATATGTATACAGAACACTCTCTATTTCACAACTTGACTGACCATCAGTTTGACTTCCGATTCCAATTCGACTTAGATTTTGAAAACATTATTTCTACTTTCATGAATATTTTATAACCCTTACCACAACTTTGCGAGGAAGCCACGGTTGACGATGTTTAACTTGAATTTCGGAATTCCCTCGCCTGGCCATTGGGGCATTTCCTTTTTGTGGGCCCAGGTAAGGTCTATCACTTTCATCTCGCCGCTGATTAGAGGTAGCAAAACGCTGATGCAAATGACAGAGATTCCATACTTCATGTTGGTGTCTTTGAATGTAATGATAACACATTAGGTCATGGCTATAGTACCCCTTGCAGGACAACGTTCACGACAGCCCTTATCGAGGAGATTAAAATTGGTGAAACGTGTTGGTAAATATTCAGTCTTCCTTCACCAGGGATTCAACGAACATTAAATATGCGCTCTCTTGTATTTGTACTTTGTAACATTATTTTAATGAGAAAGATCACGATGTAGTTTGAAAACCTAATAGTGAAATACTCGAGAATTTAACAACAACAGGGTACATACATTGGTATATGCCAGTTGGACACGCCGTCTGATAAGACAAGAAATGGAGACCAGCCCAGCCCAGATAAGACCTTCGTGTAGAAATCCCTGACCGATATGATCCAGCCACTGTCTGGGAAAGGGAAACAGTCTTACTTAAAACGCTGTCATCACGTGGTACACTTATATTCACGTAACTGTCACGTGTATGGGACATGACGGCGAACGATGAATGAGTGAGTGACCAGACCACGTTTATACACACACACACACACACACACACACACACACACATGAAATTTCAATAGTCTGAAGAGAGTGAATTAGATTATAATTGATTTCTCTTTGGTGCGAACCATATACAAAAGGAGTGGTAATTAGCATTGCAGAGGGCGTTTGTTGGGACTATAAATGTGACGTCATAGCGCGGGGTATTCATTCTCGCCTGCAGTCAACTTCTCTTGTTCGCTTGTTCTTCAACAAGTATAAACTTGGCTGCCTCATCCGACATTGGTGGGAAACTGGACAGTATCCTATTTCAGATGGCCACGCGTGACCAAACTGTTAAAGCTGTCGACTGAAGGCTTGCAGGTTTGCAAGAAAGCTGCAACGAAACCTTAGAGTTACAGAAGTTGCGCACCCAGAAAGACTTTGTCTGGAAACGTGAGGGACACAAGTTGCAGTATCAATTGATTCTCTCAAGCAAATTAAATTCGCGTTTGATTACAAGACCGAATATATGCAAGAGCTTTTGGCCTCTGAAACAGAGAGGATGGAGAAGAGGAACAAACACATCAAGCTGCCGGACACCTCAGAAGGAGGCTGGGAGGCCGTGCGTCAATACGAGGCCAACGAGTTGGAGCGGTCAAGAAACTGGAGAAGAAGAGAGCCAAGTTGTGCAGGTTTACACCTTACAGGCCCCCTTCAGCGACTATCACCCAGTCTACTTCTCCTCCTGGCGTTGTGTCAAGTCAGCTGAGCCTTACCCAGCATTAAGGTAGCCTTAGTCCAATGTTAAAGAATGGGAGTTTGTAAAGGTTGCTTCATGCGGCGACTCGTTCCACTCGGGAAGAGATTGCCTACGTGTCATAGCACAGTCAAACATCATCACCCTTGGCACATCCAGTACATTTGGCTGGACAAGGTAAAGTTGAATTTTGGTTAAACTCACGAGTACGAGCAACGTTGTTCAGAAATCAGAATTAAAGGTAATTAGAGGCATTGTTTATGGCTCTGACAGGAGCTTAATGCTACAGGCTTTGTATTGGACGTTATTGAAAATGGTTACAGGGTGCCTCTCTGTTTATTGCCAGTTTCTATGGAATTTAGCAATAACAGATCAGATTGCAATCATTCAGAGATTGTGTGTGAAGCCATTACGGATTCCTTAAACAAGGATTGAATGTGCTGAAAAACCATTTGTTGTAAATCCTTTATCTGTGGAGATTCAGACTTAAGGGAAGAAGAGCCTTTTTTTTAAGATTCTTCTGTTGTTAACAAGCATGTATACAAACAGTCCGTCAAATATGAAGATTGGCGTACAGCCTTTGTGTACTTTAGGATAAATGACAGGTTGGCTAAATTCGATGTGCACTGGGCCACACTCACCACACTGAGATGTATCCCCAGCATACAACGTTCTTTGGATTTTCTTGGAATTGGTCATGAGGAAAGAAATATTATAAGTTTCTTGTTCTCCCGTTCGGTTTAACTTCGGCCCCCAATATATTTTCCAAAGTAACAAGGCAGTTGGTTAAGTATTGGCGTCATGATGGTTTGCACATTGTAATGTTCCTTGATGATGGACCTACCTATGGTTGATTCTTCAGAGACTGTTTGCAGTGTTTCAGCTTAAAAGGTAAAGAATGATATCATTTGGTCTGGCTTTATTCCTAAGGCTGAGAGTGAGTGAGTGAGTGAGGATGTTTTAACGCCGCTTTTAGCAATATTCCAGCAATATCACGGCGGCGGACACCAGAAATGGGCTTCACACATTGTACCCCTGTGGGGAATCGAACCCGGGTCTTCGTCGTGACGGGCCAACGCTTTAACCACTAGGCTACCTTAAAACATCCCCACTCACTCACTCACTGGGGGATCTAGAGTGCCAGTTCGCAGTGTTTCTTCAGTTGTAGGACAAGTTGTTTCCATGAAGCTAGCGGTTGGTGATGACAAGATCGTTGTCGTGTGACATTCCAGCTGCAAGGTCTTGGAGTGACAGTATTAGATTCTCACGTTGTAGCTTAGAATAGTTTCTGGTTGTCAAACAACACTATGTATAACTCACGTTCACTGAGTTCAGACAGTTCAGGCACCCATGAAGGGCCACCTCCTCGTGGTGGGTGCTGGGTAACGCTAAGCGCCGTTCAACCCCCGTTGTGGACCCGGGGGAAAATTTGGTCCACCAACCTGTTTGCCGTGGGTTGTGCCCCTGTGTCGGTGAAGGACGGGATTCTGGTGGTTGAGGGCAATAGGTTCCTGGAACCGTGTTCCTTTTGCCCAACACACCACTTTGACCCTTACTTCACCTAGACGGGTGGTAGAACTGGCCCGGTTCTATCAATCGGCTGGTCATGTCATGCCCTGTGTTGGACATTTCCATATTTGGAGTCTAATATCGTATTTTTGTGTGTTTTGGGTTTAACATTTTCGAAATATTTCAACGGTTTTGCCCAGAAGGCGGTGGCTCATGGGCCAATCTGGTTAATGTCAACCTCCGAATTCTATATGTCTCCAAATTTCTGTTATGTGCAGAACCAGCTGGACAGTCACTTTGGTAGATAAATATAGCTATTCGTGTTACATTTGCTGGAGTATGGCAAACTTGTAGCCCTGATGATGCAGACTGGGTTCCTCTGCAACATCGTTCTCTGTTGACACTCGGTGGCGGGTGGGGAGCAAGTTTGCTGAAAAATATTATATCACCATGTCTCTCACTCAACTCTCTGGTTCTTCGAAAAACAAACGTCGTCATGTCGATTCTGTATCGTCTGATGACGAAAGTGCACCTGAACTGAACGATTACTGGCCGAGATTTCTTGTCATTTCATCTTCTGATGGTACTCCGCTCAAGTTGAATCCGTTTGCCATATCCATGGGTATCAAAGGTGCCTGTGGAGAAGTTAAAAACGTTACTCGACTTCGCTCTGGCTCACTTCTTGTCGAATGTGTACGAAAACAACAGTCCGTCAATCTGCTTGGATTAAAGCAGTTTGTAAATGTCCCGGTTGTTGTCTCAGTACACAGTACACTAAACTCCTGCCGTGGAATAATTCGAGACCGTGCTCGTTGTCTCTCAGACATGAGCGAGGAAGAACTTCTTTCCCGAATTACAAAATCAAGGAGTAATTGCTGTTAAGCGATTCACAAGGAAACAAAATGACACTGTAATAAAAACAAACACTTATCTTTTCCCGTTTGCCCTGCCAACTATTCCAAAATCTATAAAAGCCGGATATTTTAACATTGGAGTGGATGTTTATGTGCCAAATCCTCTCCGGTGTTACAATTGCCAAAAGTTTGGTCATGGTGCCAAGACTTGTACTCACACTATGATATGCTCTCGCTGTAGTGGTGCCCACGACAGTTCTGATTGCAACAATGCAATGAAGTGTGCAAACTGTGATGGTGAGCATTTGGCATCGTCACGGTCGTGTCCTTTCTTTGTTTATCAGTCGCAAATTTTGAAAGTGAAATGCACAAACAATCTTTCCTATTTTGAAGCAAAAAAGTTGGTTCCAGATCCATTTTCCAAACCCACCACTTTAACCTTTTCTGCTGTAGCATCTTCTCCTGTCCCTGCAAAGAAGATCATTACAGTCTCTACAATGTGCCAGACTGAAATTTCTTGGGTTCATGAAAATCAAATATCCATCAGAGAAAGTGCCCCAACAACTCACAAGACAATTACGTCAGCCTCTCAAACAGAGAGTCCATTCTCAAAGATATCAGAGCCAGAATCTCAAGAACTTTCTGAAACTGAAAAACCTGCTACTCAGCAAACAAGAAAAGAAAAAAAACGGAAGAAAAAAAGACAACGACACTTCAACATTTGGAGGTACCACCTTCTTCGCAACCACCTGTAAATGTCCATAATTCTTTTGAACCACTGGAAATGGAGGTTACTACTCCATTTCAAAACAAAAGGAGCCCTCCTCCTTCACGTTCACGATCACCCGTTAACCCCCCATGAGTGCTAGTCACATCATACAATGGAACTGTAGAGGACTTCAGAACAATTTCAATGATCTGCAATTATTAATTCAAGATTACACACCATCAGCATTTTGTTTACAAGAAACTTTTCTTAAAACAACAGATAAATTTGATTTACGCCATTACAGCTCATATCATCATTTTTCTCCTCCGGGAGATAAAGCTACTGGTGGATCCTCAGTACTGGTGAAACAGGGCGTTATTCACAGTCCTGTTCCTCTAACTACGCCACTTCAAGCTGTTGCAGTGCGGGTTACATTACATATAGTTTTACCCTCTGTTCTTTGTATATACCACCATCCCATTCCTTCAACAGTCTGAACTTCAGGCCCTTTATGACCAGCTTCCTAAGCCCTGTGTCATCATGGGAGATTTGAATGGCCATAACCCAATTTGGGGTTCTAATGCTACAAATACTAAGGGTAAACAACTTGAAGATTTTTTCTTGAATAATGATTTGTGCATTTTTAATG